ACCACTTTCAAGTTGAAATCATTAGACTCCTCCTGATCCTCTGTAAACATAATACCCCATTCTCCACTCTTAGAGCTGCCCACATCAGACAAATAACCCTTATTAGGGGGCTCCTTACTTCTGACCAGATCCATCTCATCATCTAACGACATGCCAGAACCCTTCCTAGCATCATAATGATAATCAACAAGGAAAGAAGAATCCTTTTCCTCCAACACATCTTCCTTCAGCACATCTTTATTCTGAGGCAACCTTCCAAGATCAGATTCAATAAAAAGCTTCTCTTGTCTACNAATCAACAAGGAAAGAAGAATCCTTTTCCTCCAACACATCTTCCTTCAGCACATCTTCATTCTGAGGCAACCTTCCAAGATCAGATTCAATAAAAAGCTTCTCTTGTCTACCATTCCCAGACAACTCTATTTTTCCCTCCTGATTACTCAATTCCTTCTCACTTACTACCTTCTCCACCACCTCTACTTCCTGAATCTCATTATTCAGATTCACCTCTTTGTCATTCATCTCTCCCAAAGCACCAGCATCCCCTATCTCTATTTCATTCAATTGACTCACTCTACACAAATCTTCCTTCTCTTTCTACATACTACTCTGCCCTTGCGCAGAACACCTCTGACCTGTCATTCCCCTCTCTGAGACATCAACATCAATATCCAAAACAGCAAATCTATTTTCTATCCCCTGAGTAGGAATAACAGATTTTTGTCTATATTCCATTTTTTGTTTGTCCCTCTGAACTTCCTGACCAACTACTTTCCCTTTAGGACCCTTCCATTCATCCCCTTTATTTCTCTCCTTTACTGGCTCGGTCACTTTATTAGCTATTACAGCTTCAGTCTCCATACGTTTTTTGACCCTTCCATTCATCATGACCTTGCTTCAAACACAACGAACAATATCTATACTCCTTCTCATAACATATCTTTTGCCATCTTCCACTAACTCCCCCCATGTCTAACCAAAACCTCTTGGGGTTATTTGCCAGAAGGTTTACTTCCATGCATGCATGAGCTACCCCAGGCCCGGTTAGTTGGAAAGTAGGATTATCTACCATTAGAATCTTTTCCATAGGACTTAAGATATCCCTCAGACTTTCCAAATTAAAAAGATGTATAGGTAAACCTGGAAGTGACACCCTAGTAGGAATAATAGGGGGTTCAATACCTGGCTGAAACTCCGAAAACCACTTGAAAAATCTAAACAAGAATCCCTCTATGTATGTTACGTCCTTCAGCCAAGCCCTAACATAATCTTCATACAAATCGAATCCTATTAACACATGTCTGGGATCCAATATTCCTACCAAAAAATCACCTTTCAACACTCACTTAGATTTGATAAACTCCTTGATTACTCCCACAGAAGGCTTACCGTATGCACATTTCCCAATCAAAGACTGATGAAAACCCTTTGATAATTGTTGAGTTTCCTCTAGCGACCAATACATTCCCAGTTCGCCGTTGTTGTATACCACTCGTTTTGCTGGCTTTGGAGCTTCTACGGAAGAAATCAAATTCCTCAAAGTCCCTTCAGGAATATCAGAAGCAATCTGACCACTCACAGGATTTACCAAAGATTCATGAGAAATCGAAGAAACTTGGACAATCGAAGGAATTTGCGAAATAGAAGAAATCTGAACATTTGAAGGAAAAGAATCTGACGATGATACCAACACAGACGAAGGATTATGAGAATTTGACAAGATCTTACCATTCGAAGGAATATGAGTAACCGAAGAAATTTGGGTAAAAGATGGGATCTGAACATTCGAAGGGATTTGATTGGATGAGGAATTTTGATCTACCTTATAAATCGAAGGAGGCATAGATGAGATTTTACCATAATAAACAGGAACTATATCAGAATTTGATCCAAGAACCAAGCCCGAGCAAGTTGTCGGGTTCAAGAACAAAACAGAGTTCTTCGGGCTCGTAAAAAGTGAAGCAAAGGTTTTAGATACATCCGGTGGTTTTGGGGGAATTTGCTTCTGTAGTTGATCACCAGACATGATCAATTAGAGAAAGTAGATCAAATCAAAGGAAGAATTGAAGAAATCTACAAAGAAATCGATGAATAAAGGAAAAAATCGAAGACTGTCAAAGAAAAACGGATTTTAGAGAGAAGTCAGAACTTCTCTCTCTACAACGGAATAACTGCCTCTATTAAGTTACATTCAATATTGATATATGCAGCTAATTCTCGAGAACCCATTTGCGGAAAATAACAAAAACCAACACAAATTGTATAGCAAATCATTGAGGAATTATACCAAACGTGCATCCAAATTGTTAATTTTTGAAAACCCATCTGCTTAATTTATTCTTAAAAAAAAAAAAATCGTGCCCAGTGTAGGAGGCTCCTGTCCTGCCATTGCAAGGTCTTTGGGGGGGGGGGGGGGGGGGGGGGAAACCAA